GGGTACGATTTTGCCTCCCGCACCCTCATGTTACGCACTCGCCATCTGTTGCGCCTATAGTTTGGGTTCCACAACACAAGCGCGAAGAGGATGAAGACGAAGAGAGAGCATCGAAGGAAAGGGGATCGTCGCAACCAAGGATGCAACGGCGTGGAACTATAGGAGAAAGAAAGAAATTAGTATGTGTGTAATTAGTGACACTAATGGGTAATTTTCTCACAACTCCATGCTGCCCCTACTCCATGAGGAGGCCCAAAACAACCGGCATTTTTTCGGCCTGAGCCTAGTCCAGTCTGCAAAATGCTTAGGTCTACCCTTGAGGAGGTATATATAAAAAAGATGCTGGTCTTTGGCTCCGTTCGGATGGTATGGTTCTTGAGGAATTTGGATAGTTTGGAGGAATTCTGGAGGAATCTGTGAGAGAAAAACACTGTTTCGGATGAAAAAAAAAAGCGGATCTAAGCCGGGTTTAAGGGCATGCGAACGGGGCCTTTAACTCTAACTTTTTCTGAGATGAACTTTTTTTGGAACTTTTCTGAGATGAAGTTTTATTTGGAAACTTTTCTGAGATGAAGTTTTTTTTTGGAAACTTTTCTGAGATGAAGTTTTTTTTATCGGTTTTCTGAGATGAAGTTTTTTTTTTGATAAAAGCCCTTGGCCAAGCTTTATTGATCAAATATAGTTACATCGTTTGATAGGAGGTGAACAATAAAACCAGGGGGATCATCGTCCCAAATACAATTTACTTTAGAAATCATAGCTTGTCTAGCTAGCTCATGCGCCACTTGATTTGCTTCCCTACTCAAGTGCTCAATGGAGATATCTTGGAATCCACTCCAAACTATATTACATTCATCGTAACTACTAGCAAATGAATTCGCAGTGAATCCGCATTCTCCATAATCTCAACGACCTCCATACAATCGCTAGAACAATCAACTTATTACCCCAAATATGTTAAGCTAACATTAGTCCCTCCTTTAGAGCAAAAGCTTCAGCCATTGGTGCATCAACTAGATATGGGATAAACGTATTTGAAGCGCAATCATCCCTCCAGAGCTATCTTTGATAATTGCACCGTACTACCACATCCCTTGTCCTCGCCAAAAAGCATCAATATTCACATAATATACCCTTCACTAGGCTTCTTCCATCCTTCTCGTAGCTTAATGCCTTTCTTCATAGCTAGCTTATAATTCTTTGTTAATGAAACAACAACTAGGCTCGATCTTCTTGCGGAAGGTGAACCGCCTCACCATGCGTTAGTCCCGCCTCTCTTTCCACCACGATACCATCCTCTAGTCGAAATAAGCTCAATGAGTCCCACTTCTAGGCTATGAATCGCTCACCTCTCATTAATAATATTTTCAATCAAAATAGAATCGATCGGTTAGATTGTATAAGCGTTACGATTTTCTCCCGGATGCCAATCGACCTCCAAACTGCCGGCTCGATCACACGTGAACATCGGATGTTTTATATCTTACGCACCATTCACACACCGGGCACCCACCGTCGGTATGATGTGCTGTTTGCCAAGATAGCATTGCACGGCATGAAACCTCGGAGAGCTCTCCGACCAAAAATTTTAACTTTCTCCGGCACTTGAGTTTCCAAAGCTTTTTCTAGATCTCAGCGATTACTAGTGCCACTACCTTGCATAGCCGCACAACGAGCTCCAAATTTCTTCTTCCATTGACAATGATATCTCGATCTCTCACGAGAGAACAAGCCATTTCGTTTATAATGCCGAAAACACACCATCTCTTCACGTCGTAATGGGGATCTCAGAATATACGATTTGCATCATTCTCAAGTATAGCACGTGCAGATCCTCATCCCAAGATGCGATCATCCGGGTTGATAAGCTCATCTCTCGAGGTTACTAAGTTATTCCCTCTTCGTGTCTACGAACTTTCATGTCATGGCTGCCCGTTATCCAATTATCTTTCGGTTGATCATGTACCATCGCCAACCCTCCAGATGTATCCAAGTTTAAAACAGTCAAGGCCCGCTAAGATACTCTGCCAAGTATAAGAGCTACCACTTTTCATCTTTGCATTTAGTAACTTTCCATCCGGATAGTAATGAGATCTTAGTACCCTAGCACACAATGAATCAGGCTCTCTCAACAGTCTCCACACTTGTTTAGCCAACATTGCCAAGTTGAAAGATTGAATATCTCTGAACCCCATTCCTCCCGAGCCTTTAGGCATGCACATTTTCCACCATTCTTGCCAATGCATCCTGTTTTTATCATTGTCATCACCCCACCAGTATCGTGAAATGGCATTGCTTATTCCTTTGCAAATTTTATTAGGAATTTTAAACACCATCATCGCATACACTGGGATAGCTTGAGCAATAGATTTTATCAGGATCTCCTTACCTCCCATACTAAGAAGCTTCTCCTTCCACCCATTTATTCTAGAGTTCACTCGGTCAACCAGATGACGGAAGCAGCCAGAACGGTCTGCCCCCACCATCGCCGGTAAACCCAAATATTTATCACTGAGGGATTCAATCATAATATTCAGAGCTTCACAGACCTCCACTTTGACATCAACATTGGTATTGTTGGAGAAGAAAATACTTGATTTTGCTTCACTAACTTTCTGCCCTGAATTAGCACAATATCTGTTTAAAATATCAGTCAGAATTTCTGCGTTCTTCTTGTCTGCATGCATTAGAATGAGCGAATCATCTGCAAAGAGCAGATGTGAAATAACCGGGGCTGCCCTGCACACCTTAACCCCCTCCAACTCCCCTCTTTCTTCAGCACCCTTCAACATACATGATAAACCTTCTGCCACTATCAAGAAAAGATATGGTGACAATGGATCACCTTGCCTCAGACCCCTTGTAGGTATAATAGTATCAGTTTCCATTGAATTGAATCGGACCCTGTACTTGACCGATGTAACACAAGCCATAATCATCTTTACCCATCTTTGGTGAAATCCGAGTTTCAACATCATATTCTCAAGAAAAACCCACTCTACTCTGTCATATGCTTTATGCATATCCAATTTTACAGCACATAATCCCCTACTCCCCTTCTTCCTTTTCATTGAGTGTATGCACTCATATGCTAATAAAATATTGTCAGTAATCAACCTCCCCAGAACAAAAGCACTTTGATGGTCACTTATAATATCTGGTAAAATCACTTTTAGTCTACTTGATAAAATCTTTGATATTACCTTATAGACCACATTGCATAGGGAAATTGGTCTGAATTGACCAACTTTATCTGGGTTCTCCACCTTCGGGATCATCACAATTGTAGTGTCATTCCATCCATCTGGGATAGTTGAGTTGTTCACTGCTTGCAACACTTCATCAGTCAGATCATCTCCCAACATATTCCAGAAACGCTTGAAAAAAATTGCATGTAAACCATCAGGTCCAGGGGCTTTAAGATCACCAATACTGAAAAGAGCTTTCTTCACCTCCTCCCTAGAGAACGGAGCGAGAAGAAGTTGATTCATATTAGCCGTTACCCTGCAATTCATATCCCCTAGAACTCCCTGATCAACATCATGCACTTCAGACGTAAAGAGATCAGTAAAATAATCTTTAACCATCATCTTCATCTCTCCGGCATCCTCATGTCTTACCCCAAGCTCATCAACTAATCTCTTAACAAAATTTTTCCTCCTCCGAGTCGATGCATAGTGGTGGAAAAAATTTGTATTACGATCTCCATGCTTAAGCCAATTCGCCCTGGCTCTTTGTACCCAAAAGATTTCTTCCTGTTCTAATAAAAGTTCGAGCCGCAAGATAATCTCCTTTTGTGCTGCTATTGATTCATCTGTTAGCGGACCGCGTCTCACTTTTTCAAACTCCCTTTTCAGTTTTTTCATACGGTAAACAGGTTTCTTCAGAACCTCCCGATCCCAAGCATGTAAATCATCGTGTACTGCATTCACCTTCGCCATCAAGTTTGGCCCATTACCCTGCACCGCAGCCCGTACCCATGCTTCCTGTACTATTTCCTCCACTGTTTCCTCTTTTAACCACCTTGCTTCAAATCTTCTTGGTCTTTCTTCCTGGAGGAACTGGACAGAGGCGCCGTCTGTGTCAACAATAAGTGGACGATGGTCAGATTTGACCATCTCTCCATTTTTTAGTTGAGCGTCTAAAAACGAAATATTCCACTGTGCATTTGCCACTCCTCGATCCAACCTCTCTCTGATTCTCCCCCGCTGCCAAGTAAAAATATCACCCACAAATCCAATATTCGCTAGCTTGCATTCCATAAGAGAATCCTGGAATGCTTGCAACTGAGTTTGTGATCTAGTTCTACCTCCTTCATTTTCATGGTGGAAAAGGATCTCATTGAAATCTCCTACAGCCAGCCATGGAATAGACGTGTTATCATGCAAAGACCGTAAAGTCTCCCATGTCACGTGTTTATGATCCCATCTCGGCTCTCCATAAAAACCAGTTAATCTCCACACCACATTACCTCTAATCTCCACGTCAATGAAGTACTGAGAGACACCTTTACACTAAATCAGTCTCCTTCCTCCACAACATGAGCAAGCCACCACTTCGGCCATCATTTTCATTAATTAAAAAGTGATCACAACCCAATTTTCGCTTCAACTTTTCTGCCTTCACTCTACCCAAATGCGTTTCAGACAGAAAAAAAAACACATCTGAGATGAAGTTGGTATAGACGGAATATTTGGCTTGCGAAGTGCGAAGTTAGAAGTGGAGTAGGAGAAAGTGACCCTAACGGCTGTGGGGCGGAGTGAATGTGGGCCGGTCTCCTCGCGTCAAGAACGGAAAGGAACCTATTGGGCCTCTACCAGCTATGGGCCGCAATCGCATATTTCCCTTCGACGCTGCAGCGGTCCAGCCGCTCATCACCTCCCAAACGCGGCGCACTCCTATCCCTCCGCCGCCGCCACGGCAGCTCAGCACTGCTGACCCTGAGGTCTCTCTAGAACCAACTGCCGTCGGGAGCAACAAGCCGCGGACATCGTCTCCCGATGCCTCTGCGCGGTCTCCGGCGCCGGGGCCATTGCTGCGAGGCCGGGAGGACCCTGCTACGCCTCTCCCTCCGCAGATCGTCGTCGTCATCATCGTCCGCCGCACCTCCGAACCAAAGTTCCAACAGCGCCGCACTCACGGCGGAGGAAGAGGCGGCGGCCGCAGAAATCAAGAGCTCGCTCCTCAGGGCACGCAAGGGGAGCGTCGAGGACCTGGTCCGGGCCCTCGCGGCGGAGTGCTCTGAGTTCCGTCTGACGAGCGGCGTAGCGGACAGCCTGCTGCGCAGGTGCGGGGACGACTGGAAATCCGCGCTGGGTTTCTTCCTGTGGGCGCAGTCGCGGGGCGGCGGCTACTCCCACACGCCGTACGCCTGCAACCGGATGGTCGACCTGCTCGGGAAGATGAGGCAGATCGACCGGATGTGGGATCTGCTGTCTGAAATGCATTGCAGGGGGCTCGTCACTGTGGACACTATCGCCAAGAGCATCAGGAGGCTTGCCGCTGCGAGGAGGTGGAGGGATGCCATTCTGTTGTTTGATCAGTTGGAGGACTTGGGACTGGAGAGGAACACGGAGACCATGAATGTGCTGCTCGATGCGCTCTGCAAGGAGAAGAAAGTCGAATTGGCACGTGAGGTATTTGTCATGCTCAGCCCACATATCGCACCAGATGCTTACACTTTCAACATCTTCGTCCATGGGTGGTGCAGTGTGCGTAGAATTGATGAGGCAATGTGGACGATGGAGGAGATGAAAAACAGGGGGTTCCCTCCTATTGTCATCACATACACTGCTGTTCTTGAGGCTTACTGTAAGCAGCGCAACTTCAGGAGGGTCTGTGAAGTCCTTGATTCCATGAGTTCTCAGGGCTGCCATCCAAATGTGATCACTTACACAATGATCATGACCTCACTGACAAAATGTGAAAGGTTTGAAGAAGCTCTGAGTGTTTCGGATAGAATGAAGTCCTCTGGTTGTAAGCCTGATACGTTGTTCTACAATGCCCTGATCAACCTTCTTGGTAGAGCAGGTCATTTGTTTGAAGCTAACCAAGTATTTCGTGTGGAGATGCCAAGGAATGGTGTGCCCCGCAATGTGGCCACTTATAACACCATGATATCAATTCTTTGCCAATATGGGCGAGATGATGATGCTCTCGATGTATTGAAAGAAATGGAAGCACAATCCTGCAAACCTGATCTTCAGACATATCAACCACTTCTTAGACTATTGTTTGGTAGAAGAGGGCAAGCTGGTGCCATTCACCGTTTGTTGAGTGAGCTTCGTGATAGGAATGGTCTAGGGCTAGATCTTGATACATATACCCTTCTGATCCATGGTCTTTGCAGGGTCGGTGAAACTGATTGGGCTTATCAACTCTATGATGAGATGGTAGGTAGTGAAATTGTACCTAGACCTAAAACATGCGAGTTACTTTTGCGTGAGACTCGGAGACAAAACATGGAAGCGTACGTGGAAAGAATTCGGAACGATGTAATTTCCTTTGGCCTTTCTCCGTAACTTTGAGAGCATTACCTTCTCCCATGTGATTCATTTGCTAGTCATTACTCATTAGCTAATACTATGCAACAATCTCTAACTTAGCATTATAACTAGAATTCAAGAGGCATCTTCACACAACAAAAGATGGAGCGTCTACTGTTTTTACTTTTATATCATCTTTTTTTATTCATGGTATTATAGCAAGATTGAGATCCTCATTTGACTGCAGATGATGATCCTTGTACATTAACTAAGAGCCATCAGCCCATGCTATTGCATTTCCTTACTTTTCTTGCGAAAACATGCTATTACATTTCATGTGACTATTTTGTCAATTATTGAGCTTGGTGTTCTAACTGTGGCACCATTCAGTATGTTGTTCGTATTATATTTATGCATTAGGTGATATCAATAGTGTACATGCCTATATAATAACTCTAACTGCACTGGTGCATAAGTAGAATTTTCCGCATTGTACATGTTGATTCACTTATTGTGTGTTTGAGAAAACATCAAAACAATATGCTTTTCTGTTTAAAGTGTCAATTCAAATAGAAGCTCACTGAACTCAGGTACTTGTAGACTTACAAACGTGTATCATATCTACTTTATATAACATTCTTACTGTGGAAAATATGACGAACATCCTTACATTTGACTACAATTTATCTGTTATTCAATATGGTTTAAAGTGACATGCTTTCATTTGACTACAGTTTATCTTTTTCAATATGGTTTATCACTTTCAGTGCATCATTATTTCACCTTACTTTGCTCCCCAAACCAATGAGTGTTTCATGGTATAAACCTTCTGTCGTTGCCACTTTTGTTAGGGGTAAATAATCACAATCATGGTCAATTGAGTATCTGTTTTATCATTCCACAGCTCTTGGTTGCCTTCTGCATTTAGCATGTAATTAATACTCTCTTACGATTTATTTTTTGAGGGATTCTCTAAGATTTATCAAGAATGAACTTGGGAAAGTTAATATACCATCCTGTTTAGGGTAACTATGTCCGTGTAAAATATCGTTGCTCATTATGGACAACTAGGAAGCTAGTCTTCGACGCGCCCACTGTTGATCAGGGTTGATAGTTTGCCAATAATAATAAAGGTAGTCCCTTTTTAAAAGAAAAATACAATAGTATCCACTGTTCTCAGTTGTAATAACTTGAGAAATAGCAGACACACGCATAACTTGAATAATTTCTCCCAAAGCACTCCACAGTCCGCAGTTCGACAAGGTTGCTGCAAAGCACTCTCCCACCAGTGTCAGTAGCCAGCGATTTCTTCAAGCAGCACTGTGTGTTCAGAACCCAGGTTCCAATGAATGATGGTCATTTAGACAGGACAGGAGCATTTCAAATGTTGTAGCTATACAAACTGATCACCATAAATCAACGGACTTGTATTCTTTTCCTACTGGCCTCTTGTGTTTGTTTCCATTTGGTCTGCACACATGCACGCCGACTTTCAAGAAATGAGAATCCAATACAATGATATTAGTTTTGAGAAAACAGGTGTACATCAGGGTAAAAGATGAACCATGAAGCATGCAAGCACAAAAAATTGGCAGCAAGCTTGGTGTGTTTGATCTAGTCAGAGTTTGATGAGAGTGCTAAGATTCAACTAAAAGGTGGCCTACTCCAGCCTCCAGATTCCTTACAACCATGGACATCGATCATTCCTCAGAGAATGTATGGTTCCCTGGAAATAAAAATTAATTAGATCGAAACTTACACTACATTTTGCTAAGATGGGCACTATTGTTTATGCTGAAGCAAGAACAGTTTCTGTTTGAAAAGGTAAATTTCACCCAGGACCAAGGCTTCTCTACTTCTAACTACCTGGAAACACAATTCTGCAAGAAATAATACCAAGAGGATAGATTCAGGCATAGGTGCCTATGCAGTGAAAACAAAAAATTGGGGTGTTATAGAAAGAGAAAAAAAAATTATGCTTGGTACTGGATCCTTCCATCATCCTCTAATATAATACCAAAGGTTGTACTTGTGTTTCTAGCTTTGGCAGATGGTATCCTAATAGTACGAAGTTTCACTTAATAACTGAATATAAGGTAAAGGCATTTTGGGCAAACAAAAAAAGCCAGGCTCAAAAAATTTAGGCCAACAGAAAAAAGTGAGCTATTTATAACATGGCAGCATTTTGGAGCGTTAAGAATTGCTCCGATCTATTTACGCATAGCTAAAAACAGAAATGTTATAGGCCTAAACAATACATTTAACTACCATTATTTTTGCACTCCTGAAATCACATATGTTGGCTTCATGAGAAACATGATGATAAACCTATCAAAACCAGTCAAGTATATAACATATTGAGATACAGGATGAACCTTGTCCAAACTATTGTTGACCTGAATCTGAAGCATTCAAATAACACATCGAAATATGTGAGATTTTGGCCTTATAGGCGGTATAGCTTACATCCATGAAAAATCAAGATCATAATACAAAAATAGTACTGCAGATAATAGGAAGGTAAAAAAACTAAAATATTAGTAAAGACTCTTTTCCTGGCATGTGACATATTTAAGTGGCTTGGCCTGGCACCCTCTCTCCAGGTTCTAATCGCTATAATGCTTCAACTCGATCCCAATACCCTGTTCGCTTGATCGTATCAGCCATGATACAGTATTTTTCTCTCACAACAAAATAGCATCAGCTGGCTTATAAGCCACAGAAACGATCAAGCGAACATGGTGATAACTACTCAAGAAATGACTAATTATCAATCTTAGGAATCAAAACAAGACCCTTCTTTTGAAACATCTGGACAAATTCTATAATAAGAAGGACATCCCATGGGTGAAAGTAATCTGGAATGCTCATTACCCACATGGTCAAGTACCCCATGCGTCAACTGATAGGGGCTCCTTTTGGTGGAAAGATGTCCTAAAACTATGTGATATGTTTAGAGGAATTGCTAAGCGCATTATTGGGGATGCTTCCACGGTGCTTTTCTGGTCTGATCTTTGGAATGATAACATTCTGGAATTCAAATTTCCAAGGCTCTACTCCTTTGCCAGAAACAAGAACATCTCTGTTGCCAAATTTCTATCAAATAACACACTTGAGGCACAATTTCATCTACCCTTATCAGAGCAGGCCTTTCAAGAATTTCAAAGTCTCCAAGACCTTATTCAAGCTTTGCAGGTTGATCAAAATTCAAAAGATTCTTGGGAATACATTTGGCGAAGCAAGAATTATTCCTCCTCGAAGTGCTATAACTTCTCTTACAAGAATATACAACCTCCAGCTCCTTTTCTTTGGATTTGGAACTCCAAATGCTGTAACAAACTACGGGTCTTCTCGTGGCTTCTCCTGATGGATAGACTGAACACAAGAAACATCATGAGAAGGAAAAGGCAAAAACTTCAGGGAAATAACTACAATTATGTCCTCTGCAACAACAACATTGAGGAATCTGCATTCCATTTGTTCTTTAGCTGCCTGTTTAGCCAAACCTGTTGGCAACATCTTGGAATAAGTTGGAACCTAACAACGGAATTCTTCCAAATGATGCAGCAAGCTAAGATTTAACATCAGAACCCCTTTTCCATAGAGACTTTCATCATCGCTACTTGGCAAATCTGGAAGCAAAGAAATAATTATATTTTGGATAGAGGTCGCCCGTCCTTTGGATCTTGAAAAAACTCCTTCTATGAAGAAGCTACACTACATGCTCGTAGACTCAGCGATGATAAGCGCGCTGTCTTTCTTTCCTATATAGCTTCCCTAGATTAGCTCTTTAACCCACCTCGGGCTTCCTTCTTTGTGAAACTACTTTTGTACAGTGTTGTCCTTTTATTTTTTTGATTAATAAAGCAAACAGTGGGGGCCTCCCCTGCTGTATTTTCTCTCAAAAAAAACTAAAGAAATGACTCAGCCCTTCAAGTAGTAGAGAAGAAGTAGGCCCCGTTCGGTTGGTAGAATTTTGGTGAAAACAACTCTGTGTTATTGTTAGAGAAAACAACATTCGGCTGAAAAAAAGAAACCAACAATCATATGGCAAAAACGGGGCCGTTGAACTGTGTGGCGTCCGTTATTACCATAATCATGGCAAAAATATCACTATGATAGCAGCAGGTTGTCCTAAATTAACCAACCAGTAGTTTTTTTTTACTAACCAGCAGGTATTATATAGGCCCCGTTCGTTGGTCTGAAACTTGGCTGAAATTGGCTGGTTGTTGTGAGAGAGAAACACTGTAGCGGCTGAAACTGGCTGGTTGTTGTGAGGAGGAGCAGTCGGCTGAAACTGGCTGGTTGTTGTGAAAGTGTAACTTTTTTTTTTGAGAAATCGAAGGGAGTGTACCTGAGAGGCTGAGATACCTTCATCCTTCATACAACTAACTGCACGTCTCTGCCCATGGCTTGTTTTGATCCGTCCTGAACTTTTGAAAGATCACTTTCTGACCACCAAAGATTGTAGATGTCTGGGCTACATGACCGATTAATTCTTTACTAATTAGCAACTTGAAAGGCAATGTATGCAAGCAATAACATCAGTGATGAAACATTTATGTTGGAGCTGCCTATGACATTTTATGAAGTAATCATGATGAACTGATGAAGATATGGCAGAACAGATAAGTAATGAACCGAACAATCTAGATGTCTTCTTATCTTAACCAAAAGCTGAAACAATCACTGTAGCAGCTCAATCTCAAATTATGATGGGCTTAGCTCTGAATACTGAAGAAACTGCAACTATGGTTTGGCATCACAACAAATTGGATAGTTCACCCTATAAAGATATAACTGTATCATTTCTCAGAGAACAAATAACATAGCTAAGTCAAGCTATCGACACCGGAGACCCGCCCAAGCAAACTTCCCACACGAGGACAACGAGCCACCACTGGAGCACCAACGCAAACAAACATCACCGTTGTCGCACACGCGTGTGGACACCTTCCTGATGAACAACCTCGCTAACACAACCTGCCATCATGACAAAGTCCATGTTTGGAACGACTTTAAATTCTAGGGATAGCCAGCTTTTCTCCGACTGTACACAGTAACAGAGAAGCTCATTCCTGTTACACTAAAAAAAACGGAGAAGCTCATCGTTTGCCACTTTGACTTTTCTTGACCTCCCACGGCAGCTTCCATGGTTGATTAGTTCGATCTCAACGACAAAGACAAGCATGTTCACCTGTTTGTTTCAAATGAGCTTATCATCATCTCAGCAACAACAAAACAGACCAAGGTTCCGAAACCAACCAGCGAACAGAAAGGTTGGAAGATCGAAGGCAGAGAGAACAATCAGTGAACGGAGGAGCTCATGCCTGATGGAGGCTACTTACTGACAGAGCTCGCGCAATGCTACTCACTAGCGAAGCGAACAGGCTGGCACCTAGAGGTGACTTGCAAGGGTGCTGCGAGCAAGGCGCAAAGTTTCCTCGTGCCTACTCATGGGGGGGAAGCACTTAGGGAATTACCGAGACTCTATTTGGTAAAGCTAATGAGGAACCATTTTCCCCTCTACTCTCAAAATTTGCTTGGAACCGAAAAAGTAACTCTTTTTTTTTTGTTTCGCCAGCTCCAACTCATGCGCACAGTGTAGCAACGAGCTTAAGCCATTTGGAGCCATGACAAACAAGGCGCAAATAAGTAGCCGGACCAAATAAGTAGCCACGACAAACATCGCCGTTGTCGCACACGCATCTGTGTTTGAATTTGGTTTCGTTCAAGCTTTATTTTCACAAGTAACTGGACCAAAAGCTGTTCCAAACAAAGCCAAATAAAACCGCACACTGAACAATTTAACCACTAGAATTTAGAACTTCAGAACCTTTAAGCATAGGCACAAGAGAATTTCACATGAATCCTACCAGGAACAAGAACATGTCCAGCAGAAGAAAACTTAAATTAACAACATAGAAGCACAGGTAAACAAGATGAGTTTACAACGACTGTGACAACAGACACTTAAATTAACATAGCACAAGTACACAACTAGATGGACTGTAGTCAGGCAGAAGCAGCAGCACGCGGGGTGCCCTCCTTCACTCCTTGGCGGTCTTGTTGATGAGCGACTTGTGGATGTGCGGGATGACACCGCCGCCGGCGATGGTGCCCTTGATGAGGGTGTCGAGCTCCTCGTCCCCGCGGATGGCGAGCTGCAGGTGGCGTGGGGTGATACGCTTCACCTTGAGGTCCTTGCTGGCGTTGCCGGCCAGCTCAAGGACCTCGGCGGTGAGGTACTCGAGGATGGCGGCGGAGTAGACGGCGGCAGTGGCGCCGACGCGGCCGTGCGCGGAGGCACGCGACTTGAGCTGGCGGTGGATGCGGCCCACCGGGAACTGCAAACACGAAGCGCCAGTTAGCACATCCCCAATCCCGCCCGCATCGACATCGGCCCAACATGACTCCCCGACACAGACGCTCACTAGTCACTCCCGCACCGCACGGCCTCCTCCCTCTCAGACACGCACTCCCGAAGCTGTGCTCCAAAACCTAACCCTAGCGCGAGCGCGGCGGTGGAGCGACAGCGACGCGGGCTCGCGGCTTCGGCGGCGGCGCGGCGCTACCGAAGATCTGGAGTTTCTAGAACAGCGCAAGACAAGGAAGCGATGAACCCGAGAGAAGAGGCGAAGAAAGGGACCGGGAAGGTACCTGGAGGCCGGCGCGGGAGGAACGGGACACGGGGGCCTTCTTCTTGTCCTTGTCCTTGTCGGTGCTCTTGGCCGCCGTCGTCTTGGCGGCCAGCAGACCCTTCCCTCCCTTGCCCGCCATCGCCGCCGGAAACCCTAGGGTGGAGCTGGAGCGGTCGCTAGGGCTCGTTGCGGCGCGCGGCGAGGTCGAGGAGGGCCGGAGGCGCGGGGGGCTTTTGCTGCGTTTGGAGATTTTCTCCCGTCCCCCTGTTCAGTGCGGGAGCAGAGGTCTTTAAACGCGCCACGCACGGAAATTTTTGGGTTGGGATTTGAATCCGGTGGGCGCCGAGTCCCGATGGCGCGCGCGCTACCCGTTTTCGCGGCTTCCCGGGCGTGAAAATTTGGGGCGGCGGATGGGACCAGGGTGAGCTGGGCCAGGCCTTGGCGTTTTGCTAATTTGCGGGCTGTGTGAGGCTGGCGATATATGGCCCATTGGTTGGCCTGCCGACAGCCCAGCTTAGCCTCTCTTTTTTTTTTAGCAAAGCCCAGCTTAGCCTCTTAGGTGCCTCGCGCTCAAAAAAAAAAGAAAAAAACCGGTGCCTCGCGTTCGCTGGTACGGAACCCGGCGGGCCTGACTGTGCTGTGGGCCTATGGCCTGCGGGCCGCCCAGACGGAGGAGTAGGGTGCAGTGGAAACATGTGAAATTCAATCCGGCATTCGGTGCGTTTCACTGCTCTGAACCGGAACCGGAATGGATGATCATTTTCAAATTGGATAAAATTTATAAAAACTAATAATGTTATTTACAAATAGTTATTATGAGTCTATTTATTTGCTTGTATATTAATTTGTTCCGGATTTTTGCAGTGTAGTTTACTACTTTCAAAGGTTATTATGTGGATTTACACGTTGCTAAAGCCGATCGTGATCGGTGGCAGGTGAAATGTTGATAAAAGACTGTTTTGTTGTATGGACATAACTAACTGTGAATTGATGGTAAGTACTTCCTCCGTCCCAAATTATAAGACGTTTTGTCATTTCTATATTCATAACTTCTACTATGTATATAGACATAATATATATCCAGATGCGTAGCAAAAGCTATGAAGTAATTAGTTTTTAAATTTGGTCATTGTCATTGTCCCACAATACTCACATATTGATTAACCCCTAAGTTTATTTCAACTAAACATAACTGTCCCTTCATGTCTCAAATATAATCATCGTTACTTTAATTGTAGGCCACTAGATATTGCTCTGATTCTCACATCGTAAATTTAACTAGATAGATAAAAGTGAAATAGTAGAAGAAGACAGTTGGCCATGGAGTATTAGATATAGATGGAGTTGCTGTTTCCAAGTTTGTGGGGAGTTAAGAGGTTGCAAGTGCATGACAGAAGGCAACTGTAGTGTTGGCCATGTATATTGGCAGTACAAGATCAGTATGCAATAGGAGGGCCTCAATTTCCATGGGCAAGAGTTGCTAGGCAGTATATATGCAAGTAGTACAGTGGGTGGAGGTAGTAGAATAAAGAGAACAACAGTGTGTCCTGGAGCAATGATAGAATTAGTGGGGGGCACAATCAAAGAGAAAGCTTGTAATTTGTTAACGAAACATGCCCATGTGTTTCCTTTGTTGGATCAATGACTGTGCTCAGAGAGCAGTAGGGGGAAAAAACAGAGCAGTGCCATGCCACTTGCTGAGAGACAGCAACAACAGGCCAATGCCAATGATGTGGCCCATGAGTTTCTTAGGCGGTTTAGTATCAGCTGGTGGGGCATGCAGTTCTTGGAAAATTTGTGGCAGCAATGTAGAGGAAAATAATTTGCCCCCTGATTGTGAGCAATGACAGCCTGTACAGTTCAGTGAGGTGAATAGGTGATTAGAAAGCCATGGTGCTAGGAGATTATTTTACCTGTACAAATCATTAACACCCTGATTTCAATGGGCTGCGTCAGAGCTAACAAACATGTTCGGAGGTTGAAGGCAAATTACAAGTAGTGGTGCAGATCGAGGCTAGTTGATTGATAGATTAGAAGAGATGGCTTCACAGATAGTAACATGGCAGTAATGCGGCCCAAGCATTTATATACTGGCTTAGATTAGTCAGTGTATATGCAATACTTTTACTCAAGTAGCCTCGTGATGGAATTTTATCACCATTGGCATACATGAATTCCTCCAAACAGATAGCGCAACAACTGGCCAGTTGTGGAGCCGATAGCCCTGCACGTAGAAGAGCATTACTTAATACAACAGCCTTAACCTCTTCATTATATGAAGCTAGCAGCTTTACCATTTCAAGAAAATTACCTTGGTTCGTTGAGTTGGCAGATTCATCATGTCCACGAAAGGGGCAATTTTGGAATGCTAACCATTGAACGACATCAATTGACATTCGAAGCTGCAGTCTATTTGCACTAATCTCTTCACTTGTTTGCTTCTCTATCACTGGTTCAATATGGCATAACCGATTCTTTAGATTATGATTATCACACTGCTTCAATATGGCATAACCGGTTTTTCGTCTTGTCATAACTATTTAATAGAATACTGTTGAGCTGAACCACTCTCTCCCTTGTGAGTTTTGAGGGCACAATTATTCCCCCTTGACCTCCTTGCAGTTCTTAAAACCTCTCACTATAAGCACATCAGATCCTGCTCTCCCTACTGGCTTACTTGAAGAAAACAAAAAACAAGAAAGCAAAAGGCTGCATCTTGTGTTGGTCAGTATTCTAACCAAGGAAAATATTTGAACCACTGTGACTGAAACCTCCGTGGGTGGCTCTCTGGATCAGAAGCAGGGTATGCGTCCTTAAGAAATTAATATGGACCATGTCTCATGTATGCTCGGCCACATACCCACCATATTATCTTAGTTTGAATTCTTACTTGAGCTTGCTCAAACTTGGACTAGAAGAAACAAAGCATGTGTCGGAGAGCAATATTAGGGTACCCGAAGAATAGGAGCTAATGACCGTCAACGTTGATTCATCCGCACGATCAAAAGCGCGACTACACCGCTTGCCGGATCACTCATCGTCCGTCCACCGAGACCATGGGCCCCGCCTCAAGCTGACTCTCGGGGGCTAGCTTCGCCTCGTCTGACGTCTAAGGGCAGACTCCATCTCGCCCGACCCCCAGGGGCTGGCTCTGCCTCGCCCGACGTCCGGGGCTGCTCCTTCATAACTACGCGCGCAGATAAGGTAGGGCACTCAAGTCAACCGCAATACTGAAGACCATACCCTGCGTGTCTGCAGAAAAGTACCGTCAGGATATGACAAGACGGGTGCTTTAAAGCCCTTCCGGGCATGTCAGAGTCCAAACAGTGTTGTAGGCGTCGACATTTGTCTTACAGTGTTGTGCGCCGCCGTTTGCCCTCGGACGCGGATCCTGGCGGGAGAATACGACAACCACTATGGTCCAGGAGGAGACTCGCATCCTCTATAGTGACGGACGTGTGGTCACTGCGCTGTCTGCTCTCCGTAGGGTCGCGGATCAACACCCTGGTCCGTCGCGCCGCCTGCCGGGGCGAGATGGGACATGACCACTTGCTGACAGAACCAGAACATGGCGTCATCAGCGGACAGACGCCCAGCGCGGCCCCATCAGGATCAGCGGACATGCGCCCAGCATGGAGTTATCCCTAGCATCGTCTGTCGTGTCAGGGAGGGCTCACTCAGAGGAAAAGGAAGACCCGACGTCTTTGAAGGACTTTCTTGGCCTCTGGTTTTTCTTCTTTCTCTCATCTGTAATCCCTGCTTCCCCATGGTCTATAAAATGGAAGGCAGAGCACCCCACTAAAGGGGGAATCAATTGAACACACCGGACATCACATCACACACAGCTAACTAGCAACCAAGCTCTCAGTGCCCAGTTGTCCTTTCCATCAGAGACTTGGGATTCGTCCCTCTCTCGCCCATTTATAACCCCTACTATAAACTTTTCGATGCAAATAACACGAGCAGCAGCCACGAACTGGACGTAGGGACATTCTGCCCGAACCAGTATAAATCTTTTTTAGCACACCATCCGGGTCAGACGCGCAATAATACAAATTTACTCGTTGGTGTTTACTCGAAACACCGACAGTTGGCGCGCCAGGTAGGGGACCTTTGCGTGTTCCGACATTAACATTAGGCCACGGATGGCTAGCCATGATATCAGCTGGGTCCCGGGCGCACACGTGCGCTTCGGGGACCTGGACTTCATCATCACGATGGGAGGAGAGTTAGCGTTGGCTCACACCGCCATCCAATCTCTCCCCTCCATCGACCTCGACTATGGGAGGCTTGAGCGGCAGCACGGTGTCTACCTAGGACCCCAGTCGTCTAGTGAGGACCCATACGGCCTCGTCTTCTCTGACGCCAACGTCATGGCGCGGCTCGCTGGAGGGGAACCCCTCTCTCTGGAACACCTCATACAGAGCGCCCTGGCAGTGTTTCTGTTTGGTCTCCACAACGCCGCGGTGACCGTTAGCCACCTTGTGGCACAACGCATGGTCCCACCTCCAACGAACGACGAATTCGTGGGGGTGATCGAACACGTCGCGGAATCTTTCCACGACCTCCTGGTAGAGGAGCCAGAGTCGCACTCTAGCTCTGACTCTAGCAGGGGAAGTCATCATCCCTCCTGTGAATGTTTTCATGATGGGTGTCCCCGAGGGACACGTCGAAAGCATTCACGAGGAGGAGGCTACCCCGATGAACAACCTCGGCGACGAGGCCAAGGAGGAGACAGCAGCCCCGCCTCGCATGCGGGTGGAGCAGCTAAAAGCCTGACACCGAGAGATCGAGGAAGCGTGGCTCCAGCTCAAGCAGGAATGCGCAGAGCTCGATCGGGAAATCGAGCGCCACGGAGACGGCGGGCGCGCACACGCCATGGCCCGCGACGTGAACCAAAGGATCATCGCCAATGATAAAGCCCTTCCTCGCTTCACCTGGGCAAGCCAGAACATCGTCGCTGCGGCGACCTTGCTCCATGGTCTTCCAGAGGCCACGACGCCCGAGGATCGTTGGGCCCACCACGAGATTCGCACGCTGCTCGAGCGTGCGGCAGCGCAGCAGGTCGAAAGCTTGTTGTCTCGACGACGTGAGCTCGATGCCAGCTAGCGCACGCCCTCGGAGCACCCCAGTAGGGAC